GCACTGAGTTTTATAAATATGAGCATGATAGTGTAGAATAATCATATCCAAGGACCAGTGGTGGGTTTCAAAAAAATTTGGAACCTCTTCTGTGGCCTGCTTTCCGGGTCCACTGTTGGAACCTCTTCTAACCGGTTCGGTAGATTTGACGAACCGGTTCTACCGAATAGGTGCGAACTGGAAGGAACCCACCACTGGTGGGTGGGTCTGCAGAGAAGAGGGCATGAAAAGGTGGACGTGGAAATTGTCCCATTCTGTATTTAGGCATAGTTTTCAATTGTCATTTCCAGCTGGTAGATATGCCAACCTTTTGTCTGACAATTGAGTACGTATTTGCTCAAACATAGAAGTTCAGTCAGTTTTGAGTCACATCCTTTTAAAGGGCCCACCGCAATTCCAAACAATATACTTGTTATGGGGAAAAAGTAAAGTTTTTGATGAAAAGGTTATCCTAAAAATGACTTTTCATCTTAGTTGGATGCAGAAAAGAAAATTATGAGTTGGATGGAATCTTTGTCAAATTCTACAACTCCAGGTCACAAAAGAAAATCTGACTTCTAAGAAGCAAAGGTATGAACGCAATTTCAATTTTTTGAGTAGAATTTAACTGTCTAGTGTTGACCTCACCCCATTCCTAAGAGGTCAGTAGGGACATGCCTAAGTGTACCAGTATGCCTAATGTTCCTGTCTTACTGTCCCCATTTATTTGTACCCATTTCCTGTATGTTATATTCATGTTAATTCTTATTCCTGTTACCTTGTACGTGAGTGACAAACTAAATGAACAACAAATTAACAAATGGACAAGCAAATGAAGAAAACAATAAATTGATTTCCATGTCTCATGATTCAAGGATGGTTTGGAGTTACCAGAATGCCTGCCAATGTCATTGCAAGTCTTGATAGAAATCTCCAGTTGGTCAGAACAAACAATGGCGGAAACACACAAAGTTAGGATGACAACAATGTACAGGGACATTCTAGGAAAAGCAGCTTTTAAAATCCATCTAATTTTGGCTGCATTTTGCTCGTTTGAACCCCATTGAATCACAGATTCTCAAGTTTCATCTAGCATTTCAGAAAATACGAGCCACTAAGAAAGATGATTAATAATGTTCAAAAATGTATTTCACATGTCATATTCAAAATTGATATTATGGATGTTGATGACTGATTGCATTTATGGTCACATTCAATAGGAAACTGGATTTGTTACTTGTTGTATTTTATATTTTTTTAGAACCAGGAGGGTGAATTCATTGCTCTTTCAGGAAATGTTATCCTATAATCCTTCAAATCTCATTTTGAAAAACAATGAAAGATGACAGAGAGCACTACGTATATTTCATGTTAAATAAATGCTTTACCCTTATAAAGACCTAAGAATTAAATGCATATAACAAATTAAACAGAATGACATCAATGAGAGGTAGAGGGGGAGGAAATGCTTCCTAATGCTGTTTCTATGCTTTTCAGATATGGGACGTGGTGGCTCAGTGGTAAAACGCTGAGCTTGTTGATCAGAAAAGTCGGCAGTTTGACAGTTTGAATNATCGCCTTGCAGTCCAAGGGATTCACAGGAGTCTTCTCCAGCACCATAGCTCAAAGGCCTCAATTCTTTGGCGCTCAGCCTTTCTTATGGTCCAACTTTCACAGCCGTACATTGCAACTAGGAAAACCATAGCCTTGACTATATAGTATACACACTTTTGTTGGCAGGGTGATGTCTCTGCTTTCTAGTATGTTGTCTAGATTTGCCATAGCTTTCCTCCCCAGGAGCAAGCATCTTTTAATTTCTTGGCTGCAGTCCCCATCTGCGGGGATCTTGGAGCCCAGGAAAATGAAATCTGTCACTACCTGCATTTTCATCTTCCCCATTTATTTGCCAGGAATTGAGAGGGCCAGATTATTTCATTTCAAAGGATTTTCTCCCTTTTGGAGTACATACATTATGTGTTACTCGGGGGTTGCAGAATGAATCGCTTGGATGCTTGATGTCAGCTGTAAGTGGCATCAGTGTGTGCCAGCATGATTTTCTTCTGCTGTGTTGAACATACTGTATTCACTTGGCAAACTGAAGTTTGTAAGGAGAAATAACTTGGTTTTGCAACTGGAGATGAAGCAGCAGTTCCTATTAACTTCAAATCTCCTTCATCAGGGTGTGTGTAAATCAAAGATAATGGCTACAAATGGGAGTGGGAAGGGGAATGCTTGAAAACAAAAACTAACATTTTTCTGTATGAATGCCCAGCTGCTATATGAACGAGGGTAAGAGATCAGAGTCAATCCACAATCTCTTCATCATTTTCACAGGCTTGTACAACAGTCAATACACCATCAAAATATTTAGTTGTGATGTCTGTGTGCATGCAGATCATGTTTCCCTGAAAATAAGACAGGGTCTTATTTTCTTTTAACCCCCCCCCCTCAACTGAAATAAGCACTTGATCTTATTTTCGGGGAGGTCTTATTATTTTTGAGATATAGAAGATGGTGACCATGGTCAGCTCATGGCTGCTGCGTGGAATGTAGAAAAAAAGTGCAAAATGGATTGTTGGGTGGTAGCATGGCACAGAATGGGCCTTTCTGAGATTTTTCAGTTCAGAAAGCAAGAATGTACACAATACAAACTTTGGCAAAGGCCCTTGATGTGAAAATATGCTTTAAAGTATGCAGTAGTGCCTGGCTGAATATGTTTTGTATTTTCAGTAGTAAAAGGCCTATATCATTATTATTTTTTGTCCTATCTGGTGAGACATAAAAAATGAGTGGAGGTGGGGGGGGGGGGAATTACATAGGAGTTTGCAAATGTACAACATTTGCATTAATATATCTGAATTGCAAAATTCACCCATTTTAATCCTTTATTTTTTCTTTTCCTGGGTACCTACAACATACAAAATGTAAAATGGTCACACATGCTAAATTAAAATACGGTTTTGGGACAGCATGCAAAACTCAGTTTTCTTAGAATTTGCTATAACCGATGAAAAAAGTTCCATGTTGCTGAAATTACAAGCATAGATATTTGGGGGGAAAAGAAACACACAAAAGTTGTTTCATTTGAATGTATTAAAGTTTGTCTATTTACATTTATTTCCCTAGAGCTGCTCCTGTCTGGAAAGTTAAGTGAATATGATGTGATTGTGCCCTTCAGTGTAGATCACCAGGGACGGTTCCTATCACACGTAGTGTCTGACTCACCATCTCCTGCACAGCACTCAACTCGACACAGGACGGTTCGCAGCATCTCTACGAAAGAAGCCGCCTTTGGGAATCCCTTGTACTTCTTCAATGTTACTGTTTGGGGCAAGGAACTTCATCTCCGCTTGAAGCCCAACCAGAAGCTGGTATCTCCTGGTGCTTTGGCCGAATGGCAAGAAGATTTCCAAGTAGTCTTTCGGGAACCCTTGAAGCAGGAATGCTTGTCCACAGGAGGCATCACAGGCATGCCAGAGGCCACAGTAGCGATTAGCAATTGTGATGGATTGGTAAGAAAAATAGCCCATTCTATTCCATTCTATTTCTCAGTCAAAACATTTGACCTTCCTTCTTGTGTTGCTCACAATTGCTTTATTATGAGTTTTGCAAGTAGAAATTCCACATACAGAGTAAGATTAGCATAAGAAGCGATGTAATTGCAGTATCTAATTTGTACAATATCTTGATGGAAAATAAGTAGGAATATTAGGTAGGTTTGCTGTAGTGGCCCAGCAGGAGCCGTTGGAACTGCAAACAGACTCCGACAGCGAGGGGCCTTATGAGTCAGCTCTGGAAGAGATGGAGGACCCTGGACAGGATTCCGACTCCGATCAGGGTGCAGAGAGGCTGGTTGGCCACCAGGAGGTGCCTGAGGCATGGAGCAGCGGTGAGAGCCGAAGGGAGTGTGCTCCTGACATCAGGCCTTGGAGTAGTGATGAGGAGACAAGGGAGGTGGTCCTGGATGCCCGGCAATGCCGGGCATATCAACAGAGAAAACAGCTACGCAGTTACAAAAGATAATTGGACCCAGCTGGTTATAATTAGGCTCCTCTCAAGATTGTATTTAAGGAGGGACTCTGGGAGGAGTCTGGTTTGCAGGATTCAACTTCATTCTTAACGCTGGAGAAGCTGTTATCTGTCTCTGTCGAAGTCTGAGTTGCTGCCAAGGTTCTTATCTGTTTGTTGTGCTTGGCTTTCAGCCACTGAGGCTTTGGTTTCCTGCTAATAAAGTGCTGTGGCATTCCAGCTAAGCTTGTCTCGACATTCGTTACTGGACGGAGGAGGGGGTCAGAACAGTTTGCTATCTTGAGTCGATCAAAATAAATGTATACAAAAGAGGTGGGATAAAATAATAATAATATCGCAGGTCCCTTAGGACAAAAGGTGTCCTAGGTGGACAAAAAATGTGAAATCCAGTCTGAACATCTGGCTGACTGCATGCTGAACAATAATAACTAACACATTAAACATCAACAACTGCCTATCCCAGGTCCTTAGGAAGGACTTGATAGGTGAATAAAAATGTCAAATCAAGTCTGAACATCTGCTGATTGTACAATGAATCATAACTTTAAAGTGCTTTGAAAATAATTAGGAAAAGAACTGTATGAGAACACAATTATAGTGCCTTCCTGTAGCTCTTTAAAGCAGCTGCATCTTTTCCTGGGCTCATATGGCAATTGCAGGGGGGAACAGTGAAAAAGTTGCAAGAGCTAATACTGTAAAAAAATACAGAAGTATTTATTTATATACTAGAATTACAAACCTCTGACAAGCAGTCATGGGAAAGCCAGATTCACTTAACAACTATGTTACTAACTTAACAACTGCAAGTGGTTCACTTAACAACCGTGGCAAGAAAGGTCGTACAATGGGGCAAAATTCATGTAACAACTCTCTAATTTAGCAACCAACCTTGTAAATTGTATCAAAGTTACTTCTCTATAAACTTCTTATAATGAAACCTTTAGTATAAGTATATTTATATTGACATACAGGGGCTTATTTAAGACTAAAGGAAATACAAGTAGTCCTCAATACCACAATCGAGCTCAAAATTTCTGTCGTTAAGTACGACATTTGTTGAGTTTTGCCTCATGGGGATGATGCAAAGGTCATAACTGTGAAAAATGGTCATAAGCCACATTTTTCAGTGTCGTTGTAACTGAACAATCACTAAAAGTACTATTGTAAGTCGAGGACTACCTGTAGCGGTTTCCAGACAGTAAAACTAAACATCAGGATGTTAACATTGGCTAATCATTAATTTTGAAACTTCATACCTTCTAAAGTGTGCCAAAGTAAAATCTGATTATCTTCCTGATGTATGTTGGCTAATTTTATCACAGCAAGCATTAACTTGCCAGGTAGAAACATGCAAGTTGTTTTAATTTCATGTTTATTGTTTTATTCTTTTAAAAAGTTTCATCCCTTTACACTGCATCTGAAATACAAATATAAAGAATAATTTCTCTTTGAAGGTAGATATGATGGCAATCAATAGTTAATTGCACCCTTGATGAAAAAAATGTTTTGTATCCTTTTTAAATAAGGGACACGATGGTTCAGTGGCTATTTGGCAGTTCAAATCCCTAGCACTGCGTGAGGGAGTGAGCTCCTGTTACTTGTCCCAGTTTCTGCCAACCTAGCAGTTTGAAAGCATGTAAAAATGCAAGTCGAAAAAATAGGAACCACCTTTGGTGGGAAGGTAACAGTGTTCCGTATGCCTTCGGTGTTTAGTCATGCCGGCCACATGGCTACAGAGACATCTTCGGATAGCGCTGGCTCTTCAGCTTTGAAATGGAGATGAGCACCACCCTTAGAGTCGGGAAGGACTAGCACATATGTGCGAGGGGAACCTTTACCTTTATACCTTTTAACCATGTAAATATGCATATGGACCACATCTCCCAAACTGATTTTGGAATTAGAAGTTGTAATTCCCATGGAACCAAAAGGGTAACGTCTTGAAACAGTTTGAAAAGAGCCCATCTATGGTTCCCCTGTTCCTCAGTTGGATCTATGATAATTCACCACGGCCAACTCGCAAGGGACAAGAGTTGCACTAATATCAAAAGAAATGATGGAACAGAATCAATAAAGAATGGATGCAAAAACAGGGACAAAATGTAATGTGAATGACAGAAATTAAAATAATGTTTTATTTATTTTGAATAATTAAATTGAATTGTTAAATTGTCCGACTGTGAATTGGCCATGGCTAATTAACTCACAGAGAGTTGACCGCAGCAAGTTGGCCATGCTCTGTCAGTTGTTTGTTGTAGGTCATCTTATCAATCCTTTAGTTTTCTCTTAGACCACCTATGTTTCATTTGACTGTCCAGAAATGTGCTAAATTTTATGGATGATTTCCAGGTTGAAGATCAAACACATAAAAAAAGAAATAGGTTTTGGCAGTGAAGGTTTTGACAGAATGAAAAATGTTTCATTATGTTTTTTAGAATTGCGGATGGGTTTTAAACAAGGAAGATGTGGTTGCTTTATAGCAGTGTTTTAGCCATTGGGACGGGTACATTTCCAAGGTGGTACACTTCCTGAAGATGCCGGGGATGTAGTGTAAGACCCTTTATGTGCAAACAAGTTACTAGCTACAGTCTTTGTAATCTAAAATATCTGCTGGCTAATAGACTTCTGATAAATGCTCTCTTACCTTGGTGTGCAAAACTATGTCTGGCCATCTGCTAAGAACAAGTTAATAGCTATAAAATTAATGGTTCTAGATAGGTAGAATACAGTGGTGTGCTAGAACAAATAGAAATACTGTTTGAATTGGATTTTGGATAAATAATTTTATAATTTGCTTATTATCTTATAAGACTTTGAACATGGATTAAACAGAGAAGATCATTCAAGCCTCCTTGATTTAGAAGATTTCCCATTCTGTTTCCCCAAAAAGAAAGACTAGACTAGTCTAGTCTAGTCTAGTCTAGAGTAGAGTAGAGTAGAATAGAATAGCTTTCTTTGACCAAGTGATTAGATACGCAAGGAATTTGTCTCCAATGCAGAAGCTCTCAGTGTCCATGCAGAGTAATAACAGTAATAGTAATGATACCAATAAGAGAAGGTGGTAGCGAAGATGAGAAGGATAATAGTAATCCAGCCTATTACATGGGTAAATCTATTTAGACTTACAATATGATATTAAGCACATTTCTGTATGTATGTACGTATGTATGTATGTATAAAGCATTTTTGTGTTTGTAAATGAACAAGAGCAATGATATTTCTGTTTAGGTGTTGCAAGAGATGTGGCCTTATCATATTTTCGTGAGGAATCTCATTTGTTGTAAATGTTCTATGACCGGGATGGCGAACCTATGGCGTGCACTGGCCAGCTGAGTTCAGCCTTTTTTAAAGCCATTTTTCATCCTCCCTGGCTCCAGAGGCTTTATAGGAGACTGGGGAGGGCAAAAACAGCCTCCCTGCCCCTCCCCAGAGGCCCTCTGGAGGCTTTAGGAGCTTCAGGAACGAACTTCCGGTTTGCTTGTAGGGCTGTTTTAAACCCTCTGGAGCCTTCAGGGGCCTTCCGGAGGCTTCCCTGAAGGCTCCGGAGGACAAAAAATGACCCTATGAGCCAACCGGAAGTCTCTTCCGGTTTGCTAGTAGGGCTGTTTTAAGTCCTCCGGAGCCTTCAGGGAAGCCTCCTGAAGGTTCCTGAAGACTCTGGAGGACTAAAACCGGCCCTATGAGCAAACCGGAAGTGAATTCCGGTTTGCTTATAGGGTGTTTTTTTTGTCCTCCGGAGCCCTGAAGGCTCCAGAGGGCTTAAACCGGTCCTACGAGCAAACCGGAAGTCCGTTCCTGAACTTCCAATTTGCCCGTAGGGCCAGGTTTTTGTGCTCCAGAGGCTTCAGGGAAGCTCCTGAAGCTTCCAGAGAGCCTCTGGGGTGGTAGGAGGGGCTGTTTTCGCCCTCACCAGGCTCCTATAAAGCCTCTGGAGCCTGGGGAGGGCAAAAAAAGCATGCAAAAAATGGGGGGTCATGCCTGTCATGTGTGCATGCTCGCTGGGGGTGTGTGTCATGCATTGGATTATGGGTGCGGCATGCCTGCACAAGGCCCCCCTTGCGCTCCCTTCCACTTATGGCATGCGAGCCAAAAAAAGGTTCGCCATCACTGATCTATGATATAGATATGGAATTTTAAATTAGCTTTCATCTGGCACTTAATCAAAGAATCAGCTGGATTTTCTGTGTAACAACAGCAGTAAAGTTAGAGTAGCATTTGAATGGCCTTGATCTACATTAAAGGGGATTGTTCTTCCCACCACATTTATCCTTTTGCGAATCTTATTGCTGTGAGGTCAGTAAACTTCTGTGGATAAATTGGCTTTTATCCATGCTTCTGTGGAAAAATTCAGATAGCCATTTTTACAGTTTGATGTCAGGAGTGATGGTTTCTGTTCCTTCTATCTAAAGTTTAGTTTACAAAGTACTGTTCTGGAATGCATTAGCAGAACATTCCCTACTCTCAGACTTAAAATATAAAAAAG